TCTTCTGATTTAATTTCAACCCATTGGTTCTGGTCTGACCTTCTGGGGCAACAGAAAACAACTCCACACCATCCTTTAGATGACAGCCCTTCAAGTACTGGAAGATGGTTATCATATCACCTCTCAGTTGTCTCCTCTCCAGGCTAAACATACTCAGCTCCTTCAATCTTTCCTCATAGGACTTGGTCTCCAGACTCCTCACCATCTTCGTTGCTCTCCTCTGGACACGTTCCAGCTTGTCTATATCATTCTTAAATTGTGGTGCCCAAAACTGAACACAATACTCTAGGTGAGGTCTAACCAGAGAAGAGTAAAGTGGTACCATCACTTTGCGTGATCTGGACACTATACTTCTGTTGATACAGCCCAAAATGGCATTTGCCTTTTTAGCAACCGCAACACACTGCTGACTCATGGTCAGTGTATGGTCTACTAAGACCCCTAGATCCTTTTTATACATACTACTGCCAAGACAAGTCTCCCGCAACCTATAATTATACATTTGATTTTTCCTGCCCAAATGCAAAACTTTATATTTATCCCCACTGAAATTCATTTTATTTGTTTTAGCCCAGTTGTCCAGCCTGTCAAGATCATCCTGTATCTTGATTCTGTCTTCTACAGTATTTGCTACCCCTCCCAATTTAGTATCATCTGCAAATATTAATAAGCTTTCCCTCTATCCCTTCATCCAAATCATTGATAAAGATGTTGAACAAAACAGGTCCCAGGACGGATCCTTGGGGCACGCCACTTGTCACAAGCACTCTTTGGGTGCGATCTGTCAACCAGTTACAGATCCGCCTAATAGTAATAGGATACCCAGGAACATTATAGGGTCAAGATAGGGTTGCAATAAGAGGAGAGAAATTGGCAAAAATCACTGTCCTCTCTTCCACAAGCAGAAGTGGAGCGTAGGATACATGCCCCAATCATAATGCCATCATAAGGTTTTTCTCTAATTTAATCTCCCTAAGATTAAAGACATAGAAAGACTTTGTACATTCCAATGGCAATTGAAGAAATATGAAAGGCAACATAGACATTAAAACTTAATACAAATCAAGGGCCTGAATTCTCCTCATTAGCGTTTTAGAAAACACTCGCTCTGAAGCCGGCAATTAAGTTAGCTACAGTCTTGATTACTAATGACTCAGCACAATTCCACTTTCTTGAAACCAGCTGACATTAATTTGAAAACCTAATGAAAATATATAACAAACTGCACTGTGTAGAAAAGGCATTTGACTGTCCTGAATGGAAACACAGTATTTGTCGTGGGCCAGTCTGCTTTAACTGAAGAGCACTCAGCTGATGCTGATAACAGCCTCGTCGGCACCTCTGAGACTCAGCCAGCTGATGCTCCTAACGACCCCGAGATGGCAGAAGCAGGTCCTAGTGTCCCAGTTGCTGAAGACAGCAGGCACTCCAACCCCATGAACACTGAGAACATGGAAGAGACAACCAAGAGAAGCGGCACCTCAGCAACCCAAGATCTTGGGGAAACTTCACAGACTGCCTTGCCTCCTCTTTCTCCAGAGCCAGGGGAATGCAGGAGAAGGCGGGCACGCTTAGAGCTCCTCGAGAGGCGGCGGAGCACATGCCTTGCTGCCCAGCAACTGCCAGATCAAGAGGAACACCTGAAGTTAATGGACAGCGCTCTCACAAGCAACGAGACCCAGCTGTGAGCTGCCGATAAAGGATGGGGTTTCAGAAGGGGAAGGCGTGGGAGCAACTTGTCACCTTCCTGGAGACGCGCAACCACCCCACTTGGACATGTTTCTGGCTGCTACTCCTGAACCTTTGGCTTTGATCCCAGACCTGCTTGATGATGCCTCTCGGACCTGCTTGAACTCTGTTTCTTGGACCCTGAGCTGACTTCCCTTGTCTATGACTCCTGGACTAAATTCTTGACTTATGTTTCTGGTTAGCGATTCTGTCTTGTCCCCTTAGTCTTGGCTGAGTCTGCTCTGACCCAGGACAGTATTTCCATAATGGAACACTTTGGACTGGGAGCAAACTATCAAATTGTTAAAATTAATTGGCAGTGCATCTTGCACAGTTGTTCCAGTGCATCTTACACAGTTGTTCCAGTGCATCTTGCACAGTTGGAAAATAATTATGTGTATGAAATGTTTTATTTAGAAAAGATATGTCCCTTGTCACCACTCTCCCATTTTAAAATGTATCAACTGAAATAGCAGCTCTAGTTGTCTCCATACTACAGTTTGTCAGCGCAGAATCAAATCTCTGACTAACTTCTGGAACATTCTAACCTCTAGCCCAAAAGAGTTGATTAATGGTAACTAATGATAAAAAGGGCTGGGGAATGGTGTCGACTTTATACCCTGGCTGGAAAGAAGAGCAATATTAAAAGTTAATGTGCTTCCTGTTTTTTCCCTATTTATGTGTCTTCTCATAGCAGACCTAGTCCAATTTACAAACAATAGCAGACCTAGTCCGGTTTACAAACAATGTGCAAACTAAATAGAGTCTACTCATATGGGGAACAGGTTTGCTGAAGTTAATACTAGTGCAGTAACTTTAAAAAATTAATTCTGTATGATAAGTGGGGGGATAAAAATATATTTTTTAATAATTCAAAAATATCCTGGGAACGGCACACAATTCCTGCCCCAAAGCTCACACTGGTACAATGTTGTCATTTAAAAGTCTTTCCACTCTTTTGTTTCTGGTAGTCACATTTGAAAATAGATGCTGGAACTGAGACTGAAACCTGTTCATGTTCCCCTTAAAACCTGGCCAAGATACAAAAAAACAAACAAACCTGGGAACAGAAATGATAGTCCATAGAATTGGATCCTATAACACCACCACAAGAAGTAACGTTTGTGGAGGCAGGTCTCCCTTGCCTTCTTGTTCCTCACCCATCAACACCCTGTGACCCCTGAAGAAGCTAATGTCAGGGGACCTCCATGTCACGGGGGGAGGCAGTGAGCAGGGGAAATCGGACAAAATCAATCCTTCTTCTAATGCAAGAGGTCATGAGGAAGGAAAAGGGGGAGCAAATCCACTCCTGCAAACTCCTTGTGCTGGCAGTTCAGAGGATCCAGTCTGCTGTTAAGATTCGTGGCTGTTATGCTTTGGCTGA